ACTAATAAAGATATGAGCAAGGCCTCACCTTAAAACCAAAAAAAATATATATATAAAATAAAAATGCTATACAAATTTAATAGATTAAAAAATTTCATATATAAGAATTTTTAAAACCTATTATAATTAAAATATATAGAAAATTTTTTAAAGCTTTTAAAATTTAATCTGACCAGGTTATGAAAACAAATTAATTAATAAGTTACTTACATATCATGTGTTTAGTAAACTATAAAAAAAACATTATGTTTAGTAAAATTGGCAAAATATAGACCATATTTACCTTTATATAGCTTAAAAATTGCAGGCCTATCCGCTATTGTTTGAGTAGGGGAATTATCATTGTTGAGTAAAAAATCATCAAGTTCATCATTACTATCTTCAAGATCATCACTGTCTTCAAAATCCTTATTGCTGTCTTCAAGATCTTTGTTACTATCTTCAAAGTTATCATTGCTGTTTTCAAGATTATCTTCGCTGTTCTCAAGATCTTCGTCACTATCTTCAAAATTATCAGCATTGTTTTCAATATACTGTTATCATTTTCAAAGTTATTACTTTCAGAGTCATAATTATTGTCTCTAAGAGCATAGTTGTTGACTAAGATATCTTCAAATTTATCAAATTCTTTGTTAGCAATTAAAACACCTTAGCTGCAAATTACTAACTCTTTCTAACGATCACTTGTACCAAATTTTTCTTGAAAACAATTGCTATTTTTTAAATATTTTATTAAGTAAACTACTCTTGGCTACCTAAGTAAAGTTGTTCAGCACTTAATTTTACTTATAGGCAGCCTAGTTTTATAGCTCTAAAGCTTTTTGCTACAGAGTTATAACTATATTTATAAAATTCTTCTACTCTCCCGTTTGCTTAAGATTTTATTAAGTAAACCTATTTTGTTCCTTAATAGAAAAAGATTAAGCTCAACAAGAGCTTTATTTTGATATATAATACTTTATAAACGGATAAAAATTACAATTTTTATAGCTAAAATACTTCTAAACTCCGTTACAAAAACTGCACTTTAATTTTTGTTAAAAATTTTCTGTTTTTTGGGAGATTCTGCCCCTCTAGGACGCCTAAACCTGCAGATCCCTATTACTAATCAAGATTATTAATCAATTTACACAACTCTACTCCTTATTATATCTATTTTTATACAAAAACCAATCCTACCTTTTTGGTTTTAGTAAATTTACACAAAACTTGCTTCTCATCGATCCTGTTGATCTATTTATTGTAACACTGGGTTGCACTTTATCTATCACACCCAATATTTGTCACATCCTCTTATTTGTCACACCCTCTTATTTGTCACACCTATCATCGAAACTACTAAATCTTATCTAACATTATGCCTACTCTTATTTTCGAAGAACTTGACTCTTACAACCTTGACTATTATTATAAAAACTACCAAGACCATTATGGATTGGGAACTACTGAAAAAACTATCACTTCTCTTTGAGTACTTCCTATAGCCTTTAAACCAGAAACCTGTGATTTAATCAAAAAACAATACTTTTTTCATGTACCCCTCCAACCCTCTATTGGTAAATGCTATTGTGGCAAGTACCATACCAGTTTTACTTCTGAAAACTACAGAATTCTTCATACGCAACGTACTGCTATCAGAGAATCTACAACTATAACCTCTGAAATCTCTTTTAAACAATTGACTAAAAACTGTGATGCTTTACCAAAATCACCTATCACCAAAGCACCAGCTCAAGAGAAATCCCACCAAGCCAACCCACGTATACTCTTCCCCAACTTTCAAACTAATCCTAGCCCTATGGCTATTATCTCACACTTACAACACTATCACACTTGTGTCTTTTGCAGAATTAAAAACCTTACTTGTATATCTACAAACCAGAGCGATTATGCACCCAGTACACTACAGCCGGCCTCTTTAAAAACCACTTAATCTATAGAATATGCTTGGTACATGTTCCAAATATAAAACTTAAACCTCTTATACCAACTGCTCTATTTAATTTTACTCAAAAAATAGTCATATCTTTTATTAAAACGAAACAAGAAGCACCTCTCACTCCTCATCAAGCACTCATCGTTGCTTTAATCAAAATCCATAAACTTTCAGTTTAAGAAAAAGGCCAAATTCTAGTATCATTATTCTCTAAACCACAAGAGCAACAACAGCAACAACAACAACAACAACAACAATAACAACAACAACAGCAGCAGCAGCAGCAACAACGACAGCAACAACAACTGAATGAAAACCAAGATAAACAAGAACAGAAACATGAGCAAAAACATAACCAAGATCAGGAACACCAATCACAACAAACACAAGAATCTAAGCAAAAGCATGATACCTCTAACGATCTTGACTGGTTCTAAAAATATCCAATTACTACAACTATGAAACTCTATACCAGATTCAATAATATGCTTGCATACCAAATTTTAAATTCATCAGACCCCACCTTGTAGATTTTTATCCTGGCAAAATTATTAAGCCAGCAACTGAATTTTCCAAAGAACTTAAATTTACATACTCCTATCTAATTAAAAAACTAGCTGGATTGTGACCTCAATTCCTTACTAACTTCATTTACGAAAGTACTCCTGACATTAACAAGGCTATTTCCATTTCTTTTAATATTCTTCACTCTACTCTCGAAGAACTACTAAAAAAATTCACTAAAACCCTTTTCACTGAACTCGACTATTCTGAAATTCTCATCTCCTACTACTTAGTTCCACTTTACTCTATTGCTAACCAAAACCTTGTAGCCCTAAACCTTGCAAAACTATACCTTATTCTCAATGAGAAGAATACTACTATTAATGCAAAAAAATTTTGTGAAGTCCTTAATATACACTCTATTAGACTTCGACTTCACTATTATATTAGTGAAGATACCCTCCACCAACCACTTCTCAAAGTAAAAACAACAACTTATTCAACATTAACATTTCTTTAAACAAGCCAATATATGCAAAGCACTTCTTCCTGAAAGATTCTATATTACATATATTAGTTTACTATGAGATCGATTCCAACAATGCTTCAAAGCAGCACTATATCATATTCATATTTGTACTGTTTAAGGCTATTCTACCCTCCTATCAAAGACAGAACATAATGTTAAGAACTTATTAGAATTCTACTTCAAACAATCATTTAAGAACTATCCAGCTTCTATCTCTAGTATTCTATCTAAACCTAGGCTTGTTCAACCTACTCTTTATTCACTTCAATTTAGAAAAGATCAAACAAACCCTGCAACTTTTTGTAAACCTACACCTATCACATTTCTGCGCAAACTTGCTACAAAGCAAAAGCCAAATGTATGGAACTCAACAATGTATATACTGTCTATACTCGTGAAAGTTATTATTTCTATTACTACTACAACGAATACTTAATTGCCACAGCTACTAATGATGAACTTGATGGTTTTCATTCCCTTCAAACCCTGCAAACACTGATTTTCTTGCCTGAGTACTTACCTATTATTATAT